TTGATTAGTTGTTGTTTTTTTGCTCCAGGCGTGCTGCTTGCTTTGCCAGTTGGTCTGATGCAGTTTTCATTCTCTCATGCTATTGAAACATAAAGTACTATAGTGTAATATTATCTAATGTGCAAATTTAAAGACATTTAGCTTCAGCATGCCAGCTGAAACTACAATCACCTTCCTTTGAGTCATAAACTGCTCTCTAACATTCATATTGCTGGAGGATAGTGATATACAAATGGCTCATTGCTATTTAATGGATCCATATGAGGCGTGATATGTGAGCAGATTGAGATAGACATGAGCTTCTACATATAGAGGTACGGTTTGCACATGGGACCATCTCTGTCCTTGTGTTGGACGTAGCATTGAAATACTGTATAATGCATAATTCATGCTGATAGTCTGCATGCGTCATAAGAGTTTGAAGACCCAAATTCCAGCGCAGCTGTTGTTCCTTCAGGCCATGCAGGAGCACAAAAACAACCATATACATCTTTCTGCAGCATGTCATGGCCATGGATGTTGTTTATCCATGATGTATTTTGTTGAAAATAATCGTGCTTCTTGTCAAACACCAAGCACAAAATATTCACGGCAAATCATGTATTCACTTTTGTCACACAATACACCATTTTGAAATTTCTACCAATGAAAACTAGGCTGAAATGTGAGAGGGAAATAGCAAGCAAATTGAGTATAATAACTAAAACATTTTTGTGCCAAAAATATCGTAAATTATTCATTGCTTTCCAAATGACACAAGCATATGTTGTAAGCAAATTAATGTTAGAAAACATAGATTAATGGACTGCCCATGTTATTGATTTTATATAATATTATGGTATTTATTAAGATTTTGATTTAGCTTTTTTTTTTTTTTACTTTTCATTTTAATTTTAGATTAAGTTTTACAAATTTTATTATGTGATTTTGTCATTTTTATTTGTTTTCTATGTACCTTTAATGTGTTTTAATCTCTGTTGTATTTATTTTGCTATTTACTTCAAACTTAAACTTGTATGTGACCCTGGACCACAAAACCAGTCTTAAGTATAAAAAAAAAATAAAAAACTTGCCCTTTTAGACTTGCACTCTATTCATTTACTAACTGCTTGTTTTCTTACAAAAAACAAAACAACAACACTAGCTTCTCTAATCTTTTTGTATTCTATCTATTTGTTTTCTTTTTATTTATTATATAATTAAAAAAAAACCTTGCTACGTGTACCTTGCTGCGTTAAACAAAAATCAGTAAGATTATGTTCCATGAAGATATTTTTTAAATGTCCTACTGTAAATATATCAATAATTTTTGATTAGTAATATGCATTGCTAAGAACTTCATTTGGACAACTTTAAAGGCGATTTTCTCAATATTTAGATTTGTTTTGCACCCTCAGATTCCAGATTTTCGAATAGTTGTATCTCAGCCAAATATCCTGTCCTATCCTAACAAACCACACATCAATGGAAAGCTTATTTATTCAGCTTTCAGATGATATATGGATCTCAAAATTGACCCTTATGACTAGTTTTGTGGTCCTGGGTCACATTTTATTTCAGTTTGTTGCCAAGGAAACTTTTATAATTTGCATTTAAATGTAACTTTTTCATATAATATTTATATTTGATTTTATTTAGTTTCTAATTGAGTTACTAAAAATTTATTTTGATAGTTTTAGTTAATGATAACAACACTGCAGACTGCAGCTCAAACTTCTAGCTTGTTAAAGTATGTGCTGAGAATTGCCCTTGTGAAATTAACCAATTTCTTGAACAAACACAGTGCATCTCAACGGCAAAAGTGGAGATGTAGTTAGCTATGATGCTCACATTAATAGGCTTTGCATTCAGTATCACTGATGTAGCCCTCTGTTCACTTGCTGAAGCCTTTGAGCAACACTGCTTCTGTGATTTGTTATTAATTTACACTGAACAAAGTAAGGGTAAATTGTGGTAACAGCTCTAGGCTGGTGGCTGAAGGTGCTGTTTACCATTATGTCTGTGGTTTTTGTTCCTGAACCTCAGTTCAGAAATGGTAGCTAATCAAGTGAATAGTCTTTTGAAGAGCAGAGTGACGGTGTGGTGTGTCGGGCAAAGTCAGAACACTATAGGAGATGGGCGATAAATGCTTGCAATAGGACTATTGGGATATATTGAATTTGACTGATGACTGTAATGGTGAATAATGGTGGCTGTGGAGTTAATGTCCATTAAACGAATGAGAATCAGGTGATGAGGTCATCGTATTACTTGTATTACAGTTTACCAACCATGGCATGATTAAGTGATTCATGATTTTCAGCAGAAAAAGAGGTTTGGTTTAGGGACTTTTCTTGCAGTTGCAATTTAAAGTATAAACTTTAAATAAGACGTTTAGAGCCAACCATGGCATGATTAAGTGATTCATGATTTTCAGCAGAAAAAGAGGTTTGGTTTAGGGACTTTTTTTGCAGTTGCAATTTAAAGTATAAACTTTAAATAAGACGTTTAGAGAAATTGAGCCTGCAGTTGTGAAAAGACAATGAAGTATGAGTCAACACACTGACTACTGTATTGGTGCATAGGAGACAGTGCAATATTCTTCACAAAGAAATATAGAGCTGTTTGAGTCTTGGCACACTGTCAGGTTTGATTCAGGTGTGGAGCCAAAAGTCTGTCACACCTTATCAGCACAGACAGTATCAGATATACATTGAATTGAAAGGCGCAGACTGCTCGATCTTTGCTGAGTAATATACACTACAGAGATAAAAACGAAAAATGAGAGCTCATCCATTTTATACTTTAGATTTAAGGCACTACACAATTTACACTTTAAGCAATTTTTAAGTTGGCATTAAACTTCTATTTCCTTTTTTATTAATTATGTTGTAATTCATGGTGAGATAATTTAAACCACAATTCTTATGCTTTTTTTCATCAACAGGTAATTGCGGTAATTTGTGTAAGAATGGTTGAACTATTTACTTAATTTTCACATTAAAACTAGTGGTTTTTACAAACAATTTACATAAACTTTTGTATTGAACAATGCAAAAATGTACATTTTGTACATGAATGTGATCATTAAAAGCATTTTGGTTATCCATTATTTAAAAATGTGCAATATATAGAAAACATTTGCCTATATCAAACTCCATTTGATGTCTTATACATTGTGGGTTTTGATTCATTTACACTTGATCTCTTAATTTCTATTTCTATTTTCTTTCATTTGTTTTCTTTTCTTGTATATCTTTTCTTTTCTTGTATATCATGTAGGAAAAAACCCATTGCAATAACCCAGAAAGAAGATCAAGTACGTAATAGATTTTCAGACTGTTTGAAACTGACACCAAGGCAGATGGAAGGTAGTTTAGCAGTAAGATGTACTTGGTCTCACCCCATCCTTATTATTAATTAGCTTAGGGCATGTGCTAATTGCTTGCTGTGAAATGGTAGTACCACATGTGGACGCTCAGAGGCAGTCATTGTGTGTCCTTTTGTCACAAGCTATGCTTGTTAATTGAGGGTTGTACAGTGTTGCCAGAATTATTAGAACGAGCTCAGAGCCTTTCTTTAGTAAATGAGGGCCAGTACTGGGTCAAATCCCAGATGACTGTTAGGGTAGCTAGGGTAACACTGCAGCATCAAAACTAGAAAATTCGAAGAACTTTTCACCAAATAACTTTTAATCTCTGTTGTTGTTGTTGCTTTTAGATAACCATCTACACTAAAAATGATTTTGGTGCTTTAAAGCATCTGAAGAGCCTACGATGTAAATTAAGATAAAAAAAATATATATATTTTAAGAACCATATGGTCAACTAAAGAACCCTTACTCTCACCATTACAATCAACAGCACTCTAGACCTTCTAGCCTCTCACATATGTATGCTTCTGTAACCAATTTCTATGACATGAAGAGTGTGCTGATGTAAAACATGTTTAAAAAATGTGGAATTGAGAACAACAGTGAATCAGAAAAGGGCATTGCTGTCATTTTACATAGTTATCATGCTAGTTTGGTGCATTTTAAAACTGGGGGAAAAGCCTTTTTGTTTTCCCCCTGAAAATTTCTAACATTAGAATACATAACAATCCATTTGTAAATTATTCCCAAACAGATTTCATTAATTAACTGAAAGTTAATTTTTTTCCCCTGATTACATCATATCACTTAGTCACTTGTTTTAGTTAGAAATAAAATCCCAGGACATAATGAACAGAAAGTTTCACAGTTAAAGGGATAATTCACCCCAAAATTAAAAGTATTTCGATATAAGCCAAGAGGAGACTGTTTTTTTTTTTCAGGAGACTCCTGTAAACAAAATTTGGTTCTCACAAGACTAGCATATTCTCACCGGAGCATATGCTACATCTATGTCCTATGTTATCCACTGGAATATCACTCTCTCGTTAATGTGCTTATGACGGTAAGCGGAAGCTAGAGATTATGGTTTATAAAGTTTTAAATATGGATATTATTCTTACACAAATGCATCGATTCCACTCAGGAGGCCTTTATTAACCCATGTGGAGTACTTTTTATGATGGACAGATGCACTTTTTGGGGCTTCTCAACACTGCCATCATAAAGCTTGGAAGAGCCAGGACATTTTTTAATATAACTCCGACTGTATTTATCTGAAAGAAGAAAATCATACACCTGGCTTGAGGGTGAGTAAGACATGGGGTAAATTTCATTTTTAGGTGAACTATCCCTTTAACAATTCATCTTTGCTTTTTAACGTGTTTCATTAAGCCTTTCCTAAAGCAAGAATAAGTTTGCTTTCCTAAATATGGACACATTCATCCAACACAGTGTGAAAGCCAAGCGTCTCTGTCCCAACTGTGGTTGGATCATGACCCAGGCCTTGTACGTGGAACTGGCCAACATTTAATTTCCATTCAGCCTCAGCTGTTACCTGTGTACACAGGTAATCAAAGCACGTCAGCATTGAATGGATGACAAATATGACAGATGTGGGATTGGAAACTGTAACCCTCAGGCAGCAGGGTCTATCACCCTCATTCCCTCCTGAATGTAAAAGTGAGAGATGGTATTTCGTAGGCCATTATTATTTACTATAAATACTGGTCCCTTCGGTGGTATATGCATGTTAATAATCTCAGATCCATTAACTGTGTAATTATAAAAGAGCAACCTCTTCTTTTAAAAGTGTAAACGAAGCATTTTAAAGCACTGTTTCTGGTTCACCCTCATTTCAATTACTCCCACTTTAATTAAGGCATCTTGTCTCTGCTCTTCATTACTGGTTCAGACAGGGCAGGACTGAACTTTTGCTATGCTTGGATACTATTATTATTCTGCTTTCCCATCTTAGGACTCGTAAACTGAAGGGAAGGACAATGTGATTGACCCCTAGTAAACTACTCAAGTAAACTTCTTTCAAAATAGCTGTAGAAGCGTTTTCATGTCCCAGAAAAGAGGCACTTTTTCTGTACTGAAGCCCAAAGTAATGCCACCTCAGAGAGCCTGCTGTTTAAATTGCTGAGCTTTCTGAATCCAGTAGATGTGCGCATTGATGTAAGTGCTTAAGAGAAGAAGCAAAGGGTTGGGACATCTGATGTAGACGTCTACGGGAAAGCAAAACTTGGCTGCAGAAATTAGTCCACAGGCCCAGCTTGGTCAGCTTCTCATTTGTAAAATGAGCCACATCTGCAATATGAAAGCTTCTAAAGGCAAACAAATGCATTTCTCACCTAGAAATTTTCTGAAATTACCATTCACAAGCAAATTTTTGGAGACAACACTTTCATGCATCCTAAAAAAAAAAAAGAGCTGTTTTAGACCGTTTTATTCAGACTCATAATAACCTAAAAAATACTATTTGTGTGGATGAAGCATCCATTTCTACAAAAACACTTGTGGAGATTTTGGCATCTTTTAATTCCTATCAGAATTGGTGGATCAAAACATGCGAAGAATTTGGCATAAAATATAACTGTCACGATTCGCTGTGGGAGGAACGAGAGAGAAACGTGGAGTAGGCCTACAAGCAAAAGTCTTTAATCCAGGAATCACAGGGGATAATCCACAACGGAAACACACAACATCCAACTAGTAGACCCGACAGAAGAGATATGCACAGACAAGAACTTATAAACACAGGACAATTACCAAACACGGGTGCACAGAATGACTAATTAACTAAACAAGGACAGGAACATGACCAAATAAGGGAACACAGGAACAGAAACGGGGCAAAACATAACAAAACAGGTCCATGATCCTGACAATAATACACTATATGGACAGAAGTATTAGGACACCTGATTATCACACCAACAGGGACTTTAATGACATTGCATTCTAAATACATAGACATTAACATGGAGTTAGTCCCCCTTTGCAGCTATAAGCTTCCACGTTTCTGGGAAGGCTTTCCACAAGATTTTGAGTGTTTCAGTGGGAATTTTTGCCACGGCTCGCAATCTCCATTCTAGTTCATCCCAAAGGTGTTTGATGGGGTTGAGGTCACGGTTCTGGCTGGGCCAGTCAAGTTCTTCCACGCCAAACTCATCCAATTAACCATGTCTTTATGGACCTTACTTTGTGCACTGGCGCACTGTCATGCTGGAATAGAAACGGGCCTTCCCTAAACTGTTCCCACAAAGTTGGAAGCATAGCATTCCATGTTGAAAAATCCAGCATATGCTGGTTAGGTATGTTTTGAAGCATGGCTGCTGGTTTGAGCTGGTCCTTAGCTGGTCATGAGCTGGTTTAAGCTGGTCATGTGCTGGTCATGAGCTGGTTTAAGCTGGTCATGTACTGGTCATGACAATGACAATTTAATATTGTTGAATGAACTTGAAAGTGGTTTTTCTGTTGTTCAAAAGTCTTTTCTGTAAAAATAAACATTGACAGACATTATTAGTCAGTCTTATTAGTCATAAGTCTGGTTACTTTGCTGTATGGCATCTCAGTTTAATCTGTAGGAGGTGTGTGTGTGTGTGTGTGCAAACGACAGGGAAGCCTTGACAAGTGTTGATCTTTAGCTTGTTTACTTTTAAACTCAGAATCAGGATTTCATAGAGAGAAATATTAAAAGAGATTGGAGTCATTGACCTATATTATACCAACAGGCCGCTGGTGGTGTGAGTTGTGTTTTTACAGATTTTCATCACCTGCAGCAATGACAATTGCCTTACAAGTGCAGCTTTAGATATTGCGATCAAAGGCCTCTTGCTTCCTGGCAGTAAAAGCATGCTCTGATGGTGTGCTCTCCTTGTTTTAGCATGCACTCAGCTTGTGCACTGACAGACTGTTGGAGCTGGTATGACAAGAACTACTGCAAACTGTGGATGAGATCAGAGCCCTCAAGAAATAGTGTTAATGCAACACAGAATCTTGAAAACAAAATGCAGTCAAAAATGTCCATAACCTAGGATGGCAGTGGATACATTATCTATTACATCTATTTATTTATTCATAAAACCTAATTTGTCAGTGGGGTGTTCTTCTTTAATGCCAAAAATAACGGCTGTTGTCAGTTTTCCCTTCCAAAGTGTCCATCAAACTCAGCTCATATTTTAGATTTTATTAAAAATGAGACAGTCTTTTATCATTTTTCCCCCTTTCTTAGTATTGTTGCATCAAATCAAATTGAATTGAGATAGTGATATTAAATTAATTTATGTGTACACTGTTGCGTCTTAGGCTATTTTGGACTGTCTGACTGTCTGATGTAATATTTGTTAACACAAATTTAACCTATTTTGAGGACATACATCTTCAATAACCATCTTAGCCATCTTGCAGCATGCAGGCACATGGGAATCATGTTGCATTGCTTCCCTTCTTTTGGAGATTTTTGGTTTTCAGTATAGACATTTATATTATATTTTCCACTTCTTTTGACTTACTGGAGTTGTGGCATTTTTGTGTCATTTTGATCTTGAATGTATCCGAGCAGGGCTTTCAAAGCAAACATCAATGCATCAATGTGAAATTTGGCCCCATCGGTTGTTCTTCAAAGCATTAAAACATAACATAACTGTTTTATTCATGAAGGTACAGTATACATGTTTGTACAGCTCCCAAAGAACAGTCCAAATGCAAACTAAAAAAAAAATTATTTTCAGATTTGGCCATTCACTCTCAAATAAGCTGCACTATTGATGATGAAAACAAACTATTGAAGATTTGCTGGCCCAGTTTCTCATTAGGTGTATTATGAGCCCAACACGCATTGCCCACAGGATCACTTTAATATTTCAGATGGAGGTACTAAACTATTCTTAGTCACTGGTAGCAAACATGAGTAATCCAAGTTAGATTTGCCTCGCCTAACCATATTTATAAACCATTATGGATTTAAAATCCCCCAGAAGACATTGAGTGGAATTTCCTTGTTCCAACCTGTTAGGAAATTTGCTTATTTTAGTTTGCTGAAATACACTTGTCATTTTCCTACACTTTTAAAATTAAAGTTTTAGTGTGTCTGGGGTGTTTTCACAGTGATAATATAAAAGAACCATTTTGGGCTCACCAAAAAACCTTTTAGTGAACTTTTTTAAGGAATATGTTAATAATCTAAAGAACCTTTTTCCACTATAAAAACCATTTAGGCAATGAAACCGTTCCATGGATGTTAAAGGTTCTCAATGGAAACTTCATGGATTACAATAAAGAGTCTTTATTTTTAAAAGCATATCACATATCTCTCTTGTGGTTCAGTCTGTTTAGAAATCTCCAGAGACATCCACAGATATGATTCCAAACAGGGTTCAGCCAACATGTCTCATGCCATCGCATTATTTCCAAATGAATGATAGCTGCTCAGTGGCCGTAACATGCAGCACAGTGCTGCTCTCTGATTATAGGTGTTGTGAAAGCTCAGAAGGAGAACATGCTTTGGTATGAAGAGGTGTTTGTAAGTGAGATGAGGTGTGTTGGTTGCATCCGGTTTGACGACTGAGGCTTTGACAGCGTGAAGGACATGTGCAGATTATCCATCAGCGTTAGGCCGGTTTGTGGAACAGGTGGAGTCTGTGCTTGAAGGCCACAATACCATGCCAGAGGCTTCCTTTCCACTCCAAATCACACCACCGACTGATGGCAGCTCCACATCTCCACCTGATTATCTGCTTTTTGCCACTATCAGTCGATGGTAATGTAGAGGTAAATTACTGGTCATTCCCTTTTTGAATCGGCACTATGCAGCTTTGCTGATTCCAATTTCACCCGAAGCGTTAAACATCAGCAAAAATATGCAAAAAAGACTTCTTAAATACAAAGTTCTGGCATGAAACTCTAGATGGCGCAGTCCGATAGATCTAACTCAGTATGACATAATGACATCATCATCACAGGTCACAGCTGATTGGTTTTCTCCTGTATTGGTAGCCAGTGAGCTCGCTGCTCAACATTTAAATACTTCGCTAATGTTTGTGGTAGCAGTTTGCAGCACACTCCAGAAACCCTCCACGTTCCCCAGCTCCACCTGTATAGATCTGCTATGGGGTAATCATGTAGGCTATGGGGGTTATTCATGTTATATGTGCAGCAGCAATATTCCTTACATGCTCAGCAGCATGTTGTGGATGTATCTGCAGTAGCAAGTCTCGGTACCTGCTCTGCCGCAGATCTATTCCGCCAAGATCAAATACATTAACATTGTCATGTACATTACCATGCAAATCACTCCGAGAGTTGTCATGACAGAACTAATAATCACACCAGTCAGAACACTGTCCATTTAGTAATTTGAGAATTCACTTGAGAATAGGCTAAATCTTATGTAACCACTGTTGGTGGTAATGCATTACAAGTAATGTGAGTTATGTAATCAGATTACTTTTTTCAAGTCTCTTGTAAAGTAACGCATTACTTTAAAATTTACAATAAATAATCTGAGTTGCATTCTCAAATAAGTAACGTAATTTGTAAGTAAGTAATAAGTATATATATATATATATATATACAGTATATATATATATATATATATATATATATTTTATTTTTATTTATTTTTTTATTAAACAAATAAGCAAGCCCAGCCCAGCCTAGGTGAAAGTAATGCAAAAGTAACGTAATGCTTTAACGTAATTACTTTAAAAAATAACTAAGTAACGCAATTAGTTACTTTTTTTATGGAGAGTAACACAATACTGTAATGCATTACTTTTAAAAGTAACTTTCCCCAACACTGTATGTAGCAAATA